TGATTAACATAGCAATAAAAAATTTAAAGAGAAAAAATTTGTAACAAAGAAACAGTATATAAAATAGAAAATGACTAAATTGTTTCTTCAGGAAATAACTTCCCACAGTCTAGGACATGAATCATTCTTTTAACTCCTAATTTACCAGCTACATACATTCATGTATGTACTCCTTCAATACATATTTATTGGTACATCTATATGCTAGATACTAGATACAGCTCTAGATGAGTTATGTTCCTGCAATTATTATAGACTAAAACAATATTAATCCCTCTTTGTAAGGAGTGCATTTAAGATCTTTTTAAAGGCTACCTGTGACAAGCTGACATATGTGGACACAAATAGGATCGGGTTTTGTCTGGTCAAGCTTTTCTAGTTTACAAAGATTCTAAGGGAAGTGAGAAGGTTCTCAGTGTATGTTTTATTACAACCACCTATTTATCATTTTGCATCTTTTCTAAACCGAACATTAACAGAAATTGATTTCCTTCTTTCCTTAATCCTGTGAAGCAGGGGATACAATATTCATTTTACAGATAGAGCACTTACTGTTCCAGACACATGATAAGGCCTTTTTTTTCTGTCCTAAATATCCTTTAAGCTCTAATTAGTATTGCTCTTTTAAAAACCATGTACCAAATAATCTAATAATAGTTATTATCGAAGCTGAAGGAAATTATTGAAGGAATTTTAGATTTCCAATGAACCACAATAGTCTATATGGGTAAGAAATGAAAGTATCCCTGATATTTAGTAACAGGTGAATAACTTCGGCATAAGCAATTTCAGTAGGGTAGGAAGACAGTTCACTGGATTGGTAGAAGGAAGTAAAGAACTGGAGACTGCGAGTGCAGATTATAGATCCATCCCACCCATGATTCCTTCAGTAAAACATTTTCTGAGGGTCTGTTTTTGCCTGGCACTAAATGACGAATTTTGATTGGGAAGGGAGTAGGGCACATTAGATAGAAGAAACGTTTATAAAGAATGTTTAATGCAGATGGAGTGTCACCAAAGAGATGGGGAGTTTGACAGTATGGGGGGTGTTAACATACATTAGGCTAATTAACCTGTGTCAACAGAGTCCTTCCACTTTAACTCTGTGCTCTCTCTGTAGGATCCTGACTTCAGCTGATAAAAAGTAATTCAAAAGAAAAGCAGGGCATCTAGGAAAAGAACTGGATGCTGGATAGCCAAAGAACTATGAATGTCCATCTTGCTGTGGGCTCTGCTTATTCATTTCATTTGCCTCATCATTCTCCAATTGCTCCTGTAAACACAATTTCCTAAATTTTCTTTGCATCATTTTATCTAGATCTTAGTACCTGCTGCTCATCATAACTTCGAAGATGACTAATTTGGATGTAGTAAATTCAAAAGCCACTACTGACTACTCTGTACTTACTCTCTGTGTTCCACTGTACTCTCTGCGTACTCCTATAACAACTTGTCCCCAGCATTTTGGTCTTCTCCTTCACATGAGATTCTGTGCTCTTTGAGGGCAATGATTATTTTTCACACATCCTTATATCTCCCAGGAAATAACACAGAACTTGTAGATGGTAGACATTGAATACAAATTTGACAATTTTGGTATATACTAAGAATATGTACTCCCAGATTAAAAGAAAATGGTTACAATAAAACCCTACTAGTAGGTAACATTCATGAGCATAAGTGTCAGGCACCATTGTTTCCATATATTTACCAACTGATTCAGGCACAGCAGTCTTAGAAACATGTTGTATTCTTTACTGTTTCACTCCTAAGAAAATGGACACACAGAGAGGGGCCACGAACCTCTCCCAACATCACACAGTGATTTAAATATTAGAGCCAGGATTTGAACTGGGTAACTGCTTCTAGACCCAGTGCTCAGTGCCACTGCACTATATTTCATCCCTGCTTTGTAGGGGGGACATAGTATAGGACAGTAACTGGAAAATGGCTATGAAAGAATGCTTAAAACCATGTAAAAAGAATCCTCCATTAGACAAATATATGCAATAATAACCGTAATTACCTATGTAGTGGAATAGGTTTTCTCTGTTTTCCCATCTTTGTGTAGTAGTGTTTATCTTACTAGTATTGTTCTTTTAACAGTAAAAATATTTTTAAAGGCAGCAACACAGGGAAAATATTTACAAACCCAACGTTTATAGCACAAACTTAGCAAAATGGATTCATCCTACAAATATCAGATGAAATTACGTTCTTTAAAAGTGTTTAGTTTTTTTTCCAGAAGTTGGAATTAAGTGATGCAGGTATATATTCTGGGATCAAAGAGTATGCACTGGTGACAAAAGGAGACAGTATCTTAAAGCTCCAACTTAAAGATTATAAAATACCCAGCCATTCTTACCAAATGATACTCCATGGTCTCTCAATTGTTGGTCATGTTTCTTAGATAAATTGTAGATACTTGTTGCATAGTTTTTCAAAGCTTTTGCATAGTCTTCAATATTGAAAGGAATGATTGTAGAGTCTGCAAGCTCATAAACCAGTGCTCCTCGTAACTGAGCCACAGAAAGCTGTTTTTTAAATGTGGGATCATAAAACTTTTCTACTAATTCAAACGTCTCATAAATCGTATGGTATACTGGGTAGCTGCTGTATTTATCTGTTTTCTGGGGGAGAAATAAAGGCAGGTATTAAATACAGACAAACATTAAATATTCAAATTACAGGATTCATGTAATCATAAAAATGATTGCAGAAGAAAATACAACCATATGGCACCCTGTTTTATCACAATGAAGCAGAAAAAAGTTAAAATCTAACTATAACACTATCACCATATGTTCACTAGTTTAAAATTTTACTGGTGTTTTGTAATTCACGTAATCTTCACTCAAAATACTTCCTGAAAGTTGTCTTTATTGTATTTCTGATAACAAATTAAGGAGTACATACTCAAACTGCGTATTAGCACAGTTTAAAATTATTTATCAATTGATTGGAAATGAAAGGTTCTGGGCGGCTAAGAACCATATAGTTGAGGAATTCGATATTTGAGCACCTTGTCTGCCCTTTCAAACTGTATAACCAAATGGCATTTACCCTTTATTACATAATTAATGGGCTACCATGATAAATTACTACATAGTGGTATTTTATGTAAATACTTTTTGACTTCTTAGGGCTGCCTTTCCTAAGTTTAGTTTTTGTTTATCTGCTACTTTGGTTAATATTTTTATTGCTTTTAGTATCACTAAAAGGAATCCATGTGTCAGTCTCTATCTAGTACTCTGCTTTTAATCCACAATGTCTTAGAAATTAGATAGCTTTGTTCAGATTGATGACAGAATATAAAAGTGAATAGGCCTTGAAAGAGTTTAATGAGTATTAGTATACAGATTTATACATTTATTTTGGGTTATTTTAGAGCTGTTTTTGCTTCCATCTCTGTTCTCAGTCACATTCTGGATAGTCAGATTTACAAGAGGTATGTATTCTAGACAAGCAAGATGTTGGTGTACTGCGATTATGATCTGAAAATTATTAAAATCTGACAAATCTGAATTTACTGATGTAATCTTCAGTTTGGTTTATCACATAATTTATAACATAAGCAGACATGGTATATGTTGGCATATCCTAGGACTTGTATATTATCAATGTGTTTGAGTAACAATGGTGTACACTAGTCAGTGCAGAACTGAAACGAGAATCAATTAAAAATAGGGAGGAACTTGTTTTATACCCTCATCAAGAGCCCTAGCCTCAGATGACAGGTAGGAGTGGGAATGTGAAGAGGGGCTACTGACAATAAAGGCTCTTGTAACCCTGTAACCAACACAGGTTCTTCACCTGCATATTTTCCTCAGGAAAAGATGAGAAGAATGAGGCTTTCCAACAAAGCCTGTGCCAAAAACGGATATGAACTACTTGGTTCTGATAACCAGCTAAGTACCTGGCATTACTCTGATAACTACCACTTCACTGAATAATCCTGCAGGGAAAATTGACAGAATAACCCAAATTAATTCCGAGTCCATCTATAAAGGGACATGAAGTCAGCCTTTGCCCCTGGGATTCTTCCTGGGCCGCGTGACCTGGTGCCCTGGTGCCAAAAAACTAAACTGTTTAAAATTCCTAACAAAAGTTGGATAAAGTGCTGTGTATCCAAAATAATAAAATGGCTTACCCTATTCTTAGTGTAACGGGCTCTGCCTGAAGCAATTCCAAGTCTCTGAAAATAAGCTTCAAAATCACTTCCAGATCCCAGTTTGTTGATTCTAGATGTAGAATATAAACATATATACACACAGGGAGAAATAAATACATAAATTAAAAAAATTATGAAATAAATGGGACAGTGAATCCAAACAAGGAATTGCATAGCATATTTACAAGATTTAGGAGAAGGTACACCATTACACAATACTTTACTATCATGTGATAAAAATATATTCTGCATTGACTGACTACAGCCAGAGTTGAACAGTGCCAACAAAGACAGCAGCCTAGTGACTATAGTCTGTTTTGGCTTTTTTTTTTTTTTAAGGATTTTATTTATTTAT